AAAAATTAACTGCCAAGGCCGAATCGCTAATGAATATCAAGATTGTTCTAATTAATAAATCGAATAACTAAAAACAGTCAATTTGAGAAAAAAAATGCCTTGATTTCTGACCTTTTTTTTTTTCTTAGATTATTAAGTTGAAAGCTGAAGCCCGGCTGGACCTGCTAAAGCAGATCGGTGTTTCTGTGGACACATGGCTAAAGAGTGCAATGAACCAAGTAATGGAAGAACTGGAAAATGAGCGATGGGCTCGCCTTCCTGCAGTGACCAATAATGGCACTTTACACTCGGTACTGTTTATCTTCTTGGATGTGATGGCCTCACTTTCATTGAAGGATTCTATGCTTTGACTATGTAGCCAAACCTGATCATAGCTGAAATTTTAAAGGAAAAAATAATGGTTTTGCTAGTGGTTTGGGTTTTTTTTCTTTAACCTATCACTAATTGAGTTGAACTTATTACAGGAAAAAAAAGGGAGGTAAGTGCTCTTTTTATATGTGCAGTGAAGAATAGATTATCAGTGCCAGTTTACCATACTTATCCTGTTCATGAAGCAGATGTGCTTCTTGTCTGGAAGTAGAATAAAAATTTTAATCTAGGGTTTCTGAAGTTCTCAGAAGTCTTCTCTAGTATAAATGAAAATAAATATCCAAAGAGGTGTAAACAGTCTTAAAGAAGGAAAAGGAATACTCTTAGTCTGTGGCTTAGTCTGTTCAGTTCACAAGGGCTTTCACAATCCGCTCACAGTATCTTTCATCAGGGAGACCGTGCAGGTATAGTTCTACAAACAAGACCAAACTTGAGCTTAAGTTTTCAAGTCCAAGGCTCTGTCTACTCCACTGTCATCCAGTTCAACTTCAGTTTCTCATGTTGGAACTCTGATACCAAAAATATTACATAGCTGGATATGTGATGCCTAGCTGGTCAGACTAAAAGTAATTGCTGCTGCTACCTCCCCAGTTATTACTCTCTCATACTGTTTATTTACTTGTGGCATTTATTACAATCTATATTCGTCTTCTTTATTTGCTTTCTTTTGTTTATTGTTTGTCTTCCTCTCTAGAATGTAATCTCCATGTCTACCTGGTTCACTGCTGTGCACAGCAAAGTGCCTGGCACATAGTAGGTACTCAATAAACATCTGTTGAAGGAAGAAATGAATGAAAGGATGGATGAATAGATGGAATAGTGGCAAACTAAGAGCTAAATTCTAATCTCCCAATAATCTCCATTATTCTCAAAGTGCCTCTTCAGTGCTTTTGTCCTTCAGATTAAAAAAGGTATCCTTGCCAGAGAAATTGGCCAAAGTTTAAAAACATTCCTAGAAGTTTTGTCAGTTTTTTCACATAGCATTCTGATTTTCTAATGGGAATACACTTGCACATTTAAAAAGGATTGCGTGGGGATGTGCATTTTAAGGAAAAATCTATGGAAGGTTTATTTTTATTTCACTATTAATGATAATCAAACTGTGGAAAATAGGCACACATCACCCACTTGACTTTGTGGTTAGAAGAGCTTGCCCTGTTTTCAGTACAACATAGTTGCTCTGCGTCATGAAATATCTCTTATTGCATCTTCTAAAAGTCACAATTCCCATCTACTTCAAGGTAGTCTGTTGTACAGAAGTTATGATGACAGCAAATTCCAGGCACAAATTTGCTTTTGGCTTCTTCACAGGCATTGTTGGCAATCAATCAAACCCATGATTTTTCTTGGACTAGCACCTTTTCTAACTAAATCAATTAGGCAGACACTTATCTCCTGACTATGTGCCTACTTGGCAGATAGTAGATGGCCAAGACTTGGTCTTCTCCTCAAAGAGCTGACACACTGATAGAGCAGACAGACTTTTATAGATCTTAGCAATAAAAGTCTGTGTATGACTTTTATACACTTGGCAGTGTATGACTGGGCTTCTGTACAGCAAACTCAAAATTGCTTACTTCCAATTTATCTATACACCTTGGAAAAAGTAACTTCTCTCTGGGTTTCAGAGAGAAAGTTAAATGATTCTAAGATTCCTTCCAACTCAGAAATCTCATGATTTTGTGAAATGCTATCAGAAAAGCTCAATACCAGCTAGAAAAATAGGAAAGAAGTTCACCCCAAGAAGGAAATGTCATTTGAGGCCATGAAGAATTTTAACAGGAGACCAAGAAGTGCTTCTGAGTGTGAAGGAAGGAAATGAAGATGTGCCTAGTACAGTGTCTGGCAGTAAGTAGTATAGTTTGGTAGTGAGTGTTGATTATACTGGGTATATTTGAGAACTGTCTGGAGACATATTCTCTGTGAAGGGAGAATTTTGCAATTCCACCCAACTATTTTCTTCCCTTTAGTCTTATGGAGTCTGTATCTTTCCACTTTCAGTTAAGGGACATATTTTGTGGAAGCTCTACTAACAATATAAATAAGGGAGAGGTGTAAGCACAAAATAGCTTACTGAAGTCTCAATATTTATTTAACATGCTTTTAAATGACAGCACTGAAATAATTCAGAAGGAGTTGTATCTCTTCACACTGACAGCTAGCTGGCTAGCAGCATAAAGCAGAAATACACATTCTGGGGACCAAATTATTTCTTCCATTATAGATGCCAACAAAAGCATTAGTCATCAAGTTTAGAATTCCCTTCCATCTGGAAAACATAGTTAATACTACTGTTAGACATTAACAGTATAAAGTGCCTTCTAGGAGACAAATGTTTTTAAAATATACAGTCTATTTACCTAATAGAATAAGGAAGGAACTATACTTAATTGGGCATTAACTTTTTGCCTTCTGTCTTGCTATGATACAGAATATAGGGTTGAGAAGAAAACAAAACAAAAAGAATCAACATTTTTTAAAAAGGAGAGCAGTCTGCTGATGCAGTTATTCAGTTGATGGTTAACCAGAGCCTACACATGGCTTCCTATGATTGGATTTCGGACAGTGGCCCAGTCAGCCTTTCTGTCACTCATCCCTCCCTTCTCTTATTTTCCTGTCTTCTCTTACTCAAAAATCCATATCCAGTTTACAACCTAATTTTGAAATTATATTAATTTTAAACTAGAAAAAGTTAGATAACTAGATTACTAAAAAAATTAGTACAATAGAGAAGAACATGACCTAAACCTCCATTCTTATAACACCACTATTATCAACTTGATGTAATTCCTTCCTCTTTCTACTATTTTTTAACACACATATCATAATAATGTTAATTTTGTATATTTTCCACCTAATCCGTATTGCTGGTCTTTATAATCATTTTGTGTGTGTGTCTATATAGTATTTCATCAGGAAAATGTATCATAATTCACTTAACTGTATAGATTCAATCTCAAACTACAGCTGACATGGTTTATATGACTTTCTTGTCTTCAACCATTTCTCCTAGCTGCTATACAAAAACACCCTGACATCTACTTTGTCGTGCAGCCTAAGAGTATTAGCATTTTGCAGAGTTGCATAGAAATAAATTCTTACTCCACTCATTATGAAGACAATGCTGAATAATGTGTTTGAAAAGCAAGGATATTAAATATTTTTAATTTTCAGGATGGTAGTTTGATTCTCATCTGCCTCAATAATGGCTAATAGTCCTTACAGTCCAATGGGCTTTGCTTTTGAAATTTGAAAATCTGTTTGTTGGTTTCAGCTAACCCCAAAGAAAATAAACAATGGATTTTGTAATGAAATAAATATAAATTGTAGAAAATAATAGAGTATACCTGCAGAAGTCTTCATTCACTTTTATATTTACAGTATTTCCAAATGGCAGTAGTCTTTTCATTGGACTAAACTTCATACTCAGCCCACACTTTTGGTAAAACTGACATTCTAAATTCCCAGTTAGGATCAATTGTGTTTGTTTTTTTTAATAGGTGATTCTTTATCTGATACAGATATTGAGAAACAGAACAACAAGACTGATAGATTACATAATTTACAAATTAGTAAGAAAAATACTAATGGAAAATGAATAAAAAGTTAATTCAAAAAATACAAAATGGTCTGTTAACATATGAAAAACAGTTTAGCCTCCCTGGTAAATCAAAGAAAATGCTAATTAAATTTAACTACTAAACACCATTTTCAGTACATCAAATTGACAAAAACGAAATGACCGGTGCCAGCCCATGGCTGGTCCACTGTTACCACGGATGAGGTGAAATGAGCTCTTGTAGATGGTAAATGAAGAAAACGGTAAAAACCTCTCTCGAAGGCTGTTTGAAAAAAGGGATCACAAGCTTTAAGAATATTCTAATATTTTTCATTTCACAACAGATGTAAATCAGACCATTATGCTATAAGCCTTAAACTTATACAGTGATACATACATATATATTATCAATAAAACTGGAAAAATATTTCTAAAGATTAAAGAAAAAAATACTTAAATACTTTGATCTAGTAATTCTGCTTCCATCATTTCATTCTAGGAAGTCATCAGAAATACACTTGAAGGTTTCCATACAAGCACCTTTGACCACTGTCTTACTTAGGCTGTATGTAACGGAAACCTGACAGAGACTTGAATAAGAGGGTGTTTATTCTTCTCATGTATCATGTCCAGACTTTGGCACTCCAAGGTGGATGCAGTAGCTCCTCGAGGCATGGCATTAGGGTCCGAACTCCTTGAGTCTTTCCATCGTGCCACCCAGAGCAAGTGGCTGCCTTCCTTGTACCTAAAAATGAGTCCGGTACTCTGGGGTTTTATGTCTGTACTTTAGGAAGGATGAAGAAGGGACCAAGGTTCATGTTTGCCAAATCTGTCCCTTTGTACCAAAAAACCCAGTAGCTTTATTAAGCAGGCTTCCACTTGTATCTCTCTCTCTCTCTTCTTTTCTCTTCTCTTCTCATTTTTTTACAGTATTATCAACTATAGTCACCATGTTATACATTAGGTCCTGACTTCTGTCAAGATCACTTATGTTAGATCCTTACTTGTATAAGATCCACTTGTATCTCATAACTTGCCAGAGCTGTCACATGGCTACCCTTAGCAAGAGCTGAGGAAATATTCTTAACTACATACATTATCACCTCCCCCACCCAAAGTGGGGTTCTGCTGATGAGGAAGCTACAACAGGGGATCTGTTGAATTACAAAATTCTCTGTAGGATGTCAGGTTTTTTTAATTTTACTGATCTGTTGAATTACAAAATTCTCCTACGGATGTCAGGTTTTTTAATTTTACTGATCTGGAAAAATGTTCACAATATAATGTCAAATAAGAAGCAGGATAGAGAGCATACACAATACAATCCCAATTTTGTTTAAAATATATAACTTACATACACAA